TATGTCCTTTTTTTTAGAGTTTGTATTATATTTGTGCGTTGAAGTTTCTGTACCAATTTGGTTAAGTTTTGGGGGTGGAGTTGCTAGCACCACGCCCCAACCCTCCCTCTTTATCTTGGCTTGGGACCGGCTAGAAAACTAGTGAGCTAGTAATCTAGGTAGGAGAAAGTGGAGATGGATTGGACACTCGCTGAGGAGGCCGCTGGGTTGACATCGCGCGTCAGGCCCTCGAGTGGAACCCGAAAGGGAAGCGGCGAGTGGGACGTCCAAGGGTGACATGGAGGAGATCGTGTGAAGAGGAGCTGAAACAGTATGGACTAACATGGATGCAGGTGAAAAGTACAGCAGAAGACAGAAGCAAGTGGAGACGTGTAGTTGAAACCCTATGTTCCACTAGGAACTCAAGGGAATAATAATAGTAATAATCGTATGTACTTTTGCTTTAGATAACTGAGTGGTTGTCATGCAATTTATTTTATCATTATTGTGAACCATGTTATTTGTAGTAGTAGTAAAGAAACTACGAGATGATACCCTCTCCCGAAATTTGTCTTTTAAATGCCTTATTCAAACATCCTTATATATACGTATATGAAAATAATAGAGTTAAGGGGTGAGAAAAATAGACTTAAGGCTAGTTAAAAGGACTACATTGAAGGTCAAAATAACAATGAAGATCACTCAACCAAAGAAAGGAAGTAAAAGTGTGGTGGTGTGCTTCGAACAATGTGTTTCAACGGAATATTATTCTCACATATTCTCACAGTTCAATTCAGCACCAGCAACAGAATACGATATATATAGCTATTTGAACATTCTATTTCATGTCATTTAATGTTAACCTAAATCACACGCTCAGTGATCGGTTAACAAATATAAACTATAGATATATAAACAGCAGTTTGATCAATGAAAAATGTACCTTGGCTTCCGTGTCTTGCCTTCTGTTGTTACAACAGTAGATTTACCCTGGCATCGAAACAAAGTTTATCAAGGAAGGTTTAGTGTGTTGACTAATTGTTTTTGAACGCATAAAGGTGGTTTAAACTTCTTAATTGCTAGCTAGGGCTTCCCCAACATTCAGGATGCGTCCCAAACACGTTTTATGGATAGGCTTAAAAGATGTGTAGACATCAATATTATATCCTGTCTCTATAATATGTTTCGCAACAGAGGAGCTAGGTTGTCTGTTATCGTCATCAATGGGTTCTCAAGGTTCAATTTGCTTCTGAATACATTTAGGAATATGCTCTGAGGCCCTTATTGGCAGAGGTCGATGAGTCCTCCCTATGTATGTGTATCCACAGGTACATTTGCATTGGTAAATACAGTGGGATGTGACATCATTTTCCGCATGTTCAAAGGGCTTAGATGGATATATTGGCTTCGCATTCTCAATTATTATGATCTTAGCTGTATAAAGTCTTTTTAACAGCAGCGTTCAATCTTTGTCTAGTAATCAAGCTGCTATGATGCCCCATATAGTTTAGTTTGATGTAAATGTCTTTCTTAGGGGAGAGTTGGAGAGTGGGTCTTGGTGTTCTGACTACTTTATATCTCCTAATGAACTTGTCTGGATAATTGTTATTATCAACCAGAGTTTGTGTCAGTTGTCTCTGTTCCTCATCAAGTGTGTCTTCAGTGCATATTCGTTGGATTCTAGTGAGGAGGCATCTCACTCACTAAGGCTCTTTTGTATGGAACAGGACAGAAACTGTGATAACTAAGACACTGTCGTGTTCAGGTGGGTTTTCTGTAAATAATTTGTTTTAATGATTTATCAGGCTGTCGACTAAGCAATATATCTAGGAAAGATGAACAATTATCTTCCTTTTCAACAGACGTGCGTGATATGTTATTCTGAACTAAATTCGATTCGAACAACCTATGATCAGAGACATCTAGACAGCCTTTTCATATCTTTCACTTTCAGTGATTCACTGACAGCCATAAAGGAGGACAGAGCGAACTCCTGAGTAGTACTCGCACCCTTTTGTCGATAGCCGACACTAATTATATCGATAATTTAAAATGGTCAACAACCAATAGTGTTCCAAGATCATAAGCGGCGGGGAGTTGGGGAAATACAAACAACACTGTACTGTAGAGATAAATTTTGTATTTTACAAAAATTAGCTCTATATAACATGATGACTTTACGTTGCAGAATAGCACGAGAGAAATTTCCTGAATTAAACTCTACGAGGAGTGTCTCGAAACTAAGTCACCAGGCAAAAAAAAGTTCGAGTCCCAGTGGCTGAATGGTATACGAGAGCTCGCTGGCCTTGTAACCGGAAGGTCTTGGGCTCGAACCCCAGTGGGTGGGTGCGTGCTGTCGATGATACCCACACGTTGTCCAGGATCTTCGGTTTTGTGCTACTTCAAACCTTCGTATTATCTTCCATTTGTGCCTTTCATGTTTTGCTGCAACACTCACTGGTTCATTTGCTCTCTTTGACGTCACATTTATCTTCTCGCCTATTGATAATTTTGTGCTGATGAACGTCTCTTTGTATACTACTTGTATAAATCTTATCAGTAGCACACGCCATACCATATCTATAATATGAAGTGGATGGCAGTTGATGGATGAGGATAATGTGGTTTTAGTTTTTTGAAATATCTTAAAATTAAGAAAATGATGATGAAGGTTTGAATCTGATGGGAGCACTAAACCGTAATATTATTAGGTAGAGTTTGTAATTTTTAGTACATATAGTCAATCATATGGGAACGCTAGTTTCTTTCATTTTGTAAATCTGATGGATAAATGATAACAGTCATTGCTGACACCCAAAAAACACCTCTTGAGTACGCCTTAATTTTTGACGGCTAATAAACATATTTTCAAGTATTGGTATTGTAGGGATTTTGTTTGATTGCACGGAGGATTTCATCATGAGCTGACATCAGTTAGAGAACCACTGGAAAACCTGCAGGGAGTACTGAACACCTGTTTCGTCCTAGTTTGGGACTCTTCAGCAATCAAACAAAATCCCTACAAAACCAACACTTGAAAATTAATCTGATGCTCACTAGCGACTGGCCCTATTCAGGCAGTTAGTTACCTGGGGTTCTAGTGGGAAGCCCTGACCAGTAGGGTACAGCAGGTCGAAGATGAGGCAGTAACTCATCGAAGAAGACATTCAGAAATGGTCGCGCTATGTTGTGAATTGGGAGAAGTTAGAATTCATGGGCCATTGGATCGGGCCCCAGTGTCTGCTGAATGGTCTACGAGCTCGCTAGCCTTGTAACCAGAAGGTCCTGGGTTTGAACCTCGGTGGGTGCGTACTTATGAAGAGTCCCAAACTAGGCTGGCGAAACAGCTGTCCAGTACTCCGTGTGGCTGGTTTTCCAATGGTTCTCTAACTGATGTCAGCTCATGATGAAATCCTCCATGTAATAAACATATCACTGTTCGTAATGATTTTACCTTGTTTTGCTTAAAGAAGGAAGTTGTCGTTGTTATCAGTGTTTCTGTTATTGTTGCTGTTACTGTTATTGACAATAAGATAAGTCAAGTGTAAATTAATTCATGAATAATCCCCATCTAAAAAATTAATGAAAACAAAACACGTAGTATTCAGCGAAGAGTCTCTATTCGGAGGCGAAGTCATTCAGACTTAGCCGTACAATCGCAATTATATGTATGCTTATTTTTATATGCGTGTGTATTTTAGGTTTGTCCGATAAGAATAAAAGTAAGCTAGGGTTATTGCTGTCAAGACATTTCAAAAATGTGATGAGTAGTCAAACTGTAATTAGAGGGGGGAGGGCGTAAAGATTGGTAAGAGGGTAGTGGTGATGTGTTGTCAAAAAACAACATATTTATTAACACATAAAAGAAGTTGAACAGGCGTACTACAGTTGCGTAATAAGATGAATAGTTTGATGAGTCATATGGAAATAAAGGAAGATATGGAATTATGTAAGAGTTCTCAAAAATTACAAATGTTATAAAGAGTTAGAAAAAAACACGAGCACACAAACATCAAGTCAGTAGAAATCAACAGGGTTATTACTCTCATGATAGTAGAAGTGGTTGAATGATTTTCTTTTATATACCTAACTAAATCTGGTTTCTCCAGCTGAACGGCTAACGCTTCAGCAATACAGCGAAAGAGACGAAAGCATATTGCCTTTGGTAGGTTGTTCTTCACTTCGTAGAATACTTTGAAGGAGAAGGCGTTTGTTGAGATGGAAGAATGACCAGTGTTGACGAGATGTTCGATTATCCCACTCCTTATATATAGCCACTATTACCTATTTGTAGCCATGCGGGATAGTGTTCTTGAACCGACCGACGTACCTGGCTCTACAGCAACAGGTGAACTGATATATATATATATATGTATGTAAATTCCTCTACGTTCCCAGAGGCTTGAAGTTTCGGTAGCAGAGGTGTCTATTTTTACAGGATGGGGTTGCTACCCTCATGCCCAACCTTCCCTCTTTACCGGTTCTATTACTGGCTTAGAGAGGTAAAGGAGTGCTTCTATGGCCGGGGATCGAACCCCGGACCACCTGCATGGTTGGCGAGCATCCTACCGCTGTGCCACCAAGGCATATATATATATATATACGTAATTAGCACGTCGGTGGTTCAACGGTGAAATGTTCACCAGCCACGTTTGCGGTCAGAGTTCGATTTCCAACTGATGCATTATTACACGTCGCTTAGTCTACTACTCCCAGTAGTAAGTCCGGAGAAGAAAGAAGATTTGACGTGAAGGTAACTGGCAAGCTGGCAAGTAACTACTCCACACCGTAGAAAACGACACCACTGCTACTGAAACTCCAAGGTTGTGTTCCACCCTCGGGACTCAAGCAATCAATACATGATCAAAACAGTAGTAGACGAGTTAATCACTTATATTTTCTAGTAAACAACACCTCTATGTATTATTTTATACTCCATGTTCAGTATCAACAGTTTATTTCTTTCTTGTCTTTTATTCTCCAAAAAAATTTTAAAAATCATTATTTTTTTCCACTTATAGTCATATTACTGATCCTGATGGATTGCCGTTGACATGTGAATTGCATAATTCATGTTCTACAATACCACAAAATTCTGTAACACCTTCAGGATCTTTATCAACAACAACAACAAGAAGTCTGCCGGCAGGAAGTGGTGTTCAATCCATAGCCATTGAAGGCGACAATGCAATCGATAATAATGATGAACAACAGGCCTACAGAAATATGAATTTTATGAATAATAATAATAAGTCGAGCACATTTTCATTTGATAGAATGCCTGTTTCACAATCATCATTATTATTACAGTCAACTTCATTGTCATCGGGATTACCGGCGGCTACACAGATGGTTCAGACACTACACCATCAATATCACCATCATCATAATCAGCAACAACAACATCAGCAGCAGCAGCAAGGACAACGACAACAGTCATCGTCTTTTCATACATTTACTGAATCAAATTTACCAAGGGAGTCTTCATTTCATTCAAGTGGAACAGTCGATTTAACTGTGGATATGGAACAACCACAATCACAACCACCACCGCCACCACAACAACAACAGCAACAATCACAACGACAATTTTCTCAGTCACCAGTATATCAATATAATCAACACCATCATTATCTTCATCATCATCATCAACAGCAACAAAATCAGAAATTGCCGGTTAGTTTAAATTTACCGATTGCTACGACTTGTTCTGCTGCTGCTGCACCTACCACTATTATCATTACGACGACGACGACAACGACAATGGCAACGGCAACAGCGACGACAACCACATCATGTTCATTGTCGAGTTTGAATCAATTCGACTTGTTGGATTTGACTGTAGTGTCAAGTGTACACAAAACTGATAAACCTGTGGATAATAATAACACTAGTCATGATAGTCATGCTGCTGTTATTAATTTGAAAAATACAATTACAGTGGATAGTATAACTTGTATTGATGATGATCATGATAGTAATAATAATAATAATAATAACAGTAATGCTAATAATACAGGTAAATATACATCGGAATCAGACGATTATGCTGATAGTCAGTTATCAGTTGCAGCAAAATTATCAAAATCACTAGCTGAAGATAATCTCTTCCGTAATCCTAAGGCATTACCTCCACCGAAGAAGATGAAGAGTAAACCAGCGCCTATATCAATTCCTCCACAAGTAAGCAAAACTCATAACTATATTGATTTTGATGTAGTAGAGTTGTAAGCGAAGTAGAAATTCAGTTTGATTGATTATTATTATTATATTATTGTTTCCTTTAATTCCTAGAGGAACATAGGGCTTCAGCTGTGCGTCTCCATTGCATTCGGTTCTCTGCTAGAGTCTTCACCTGGCTCCAAGTCTGCCCACACGTTTTCATCTCCTCTTCACATGACCTCCTCCAAGTCACCCTCGCACTGACGACCAACTCGCCGCTTCCCTTTCGGGTTCCACTCGAGTGATGGCTTGTCTAGTGATGTCACTTGATGGATTGTTTCCTCAGAGTATGGCCAGCCAATCCATCTCCATTTCTTCCTGCCTATTTGTTTCACAATCGGTTCCTGGTTGGTTCGCTCATTCCAGAGATCTTTTCTGGCCTGCCATCTGATCTTGAGTATTGAGCGAAGACAACTGTTAATGAAGGTCTGTAGTTTGTTTGAGGTGCTCTTTATGACGCGCTGGCCAAGTCTCTGATCGGTATAGTGAGTAGCACTGATTTCACATTGGAGTTGATTGAATGAAACTAAATTAGAAGATCTAATAGTGCTGATGTTGACCTGGTTTTGTACTTAACGCCACTATATCATCAGTGTATGTGTGTGTGCATGCATCACATGGAACCATCATATTATCAAGAAGAGAGACGTTTTTCATGATTGTTCCTCAAACAAACACAACTTAGTTGTTTCTCTTTGTCTACAGATAACTAGTTAATCAGATTCCGTTCCCTTCAAAAAACATCGATTCTTCTTACTTTTCAAAGAATATTTGGACGTGTTAAAATGGACATTTTTATCAAATTCTCATAGTCTAGTCAAAACAAAAAAACTAACGGTAGAAAAGAGATAACAAGGGGAAAAACATCTCGAAATAATTTTTTATTATTATTATTATCCCCCTGAGTTCTGAGTGGAATATAGGCCTTCAGCAATACATCTCCACTTTCTTCTATATTTTTTATGCGATCCTCTTCAGCTGGGTCCAAAACTGCTCATAATCTCTCATCTCCTCCCCCTCGCCACACGATCTCCTCCATGTCCTCCGGCGTACTGATAACCCACTCGTCGCTTCCCATTTGGATTCTACTCGAGCGATGGTCTGCATTGCGCACGATGTCATTCCATGGCCTCCTCAATGTATGCCCGATCAACCCATCTCCATTCTCTCTCTGTTACATATTTGTTACGTGATCGGCGCTGTTGGTTGGTTTGTTCCCATAGTTTTTGTTACTAATTCTTTCTGGCCATTTTGAACTTCAGTATGGAGCCAGTGAAGACTGCAGCTGTTGATAAAAGTCTGCAACCTGTTGGAAATCGTATTCGTGACACACTGGCCAAGTTTCTGACCCGTATAGAAGGACCGACTTGACATTTGTATTGAAAATTCGAATCTTGTTCCTTATGTTAAGTTCAGAAGATTTCCAAACTGGTTTCAGGTTGATGAAGGTGTGTGCATCTTGCCTTTCGGATTCTGACTTTGACATCTTCATCCATGCCATCGTCTGCAGTTGAAACGATGCTTTCTAGTTAAGTAGGCGAAGGGGGTAACCTCTGTTAATTTGCATTTCCCTTTGATGATGACCATTAACCGAAATCACGTCATGTTAGTCTTGAGACATCATTGAAGCTTCTGTACTAGGAGCCCCTCATATCAACAGAGAACGACATAATCGATCAACGCGAGATCCCAACTGATTTAAACATTAACAATAACTGATACATACGCATTACATAAGAGGGCAGCTTTCATGACTAAAATGTCCCAGTGAATAAGGCTTCGGTGTTCGAACCGATGACTGAAGGATTGAAGTCCCAGGTAGAAGTTAATTGGTGGATGGTGGCTAGCAGGGGAATCCAGGACAGCGTGTATTTCGTCCCATTTGGGACTCGTCATCTGGGTGTACCTGCATTCCACAGTGGGTGATGATGTTCCCACCGAGGCTCGAACCCAGTCCCCATAGTTTCAAACACCAAAGCGTTATCTACTAGACCACTTGGGCCACGAGAGCCACATATTTCTTGTGCAACGGGTCATATTAATTATTTAATTGCATTTTAGATTTTCCCATCGATTGATTGGACCGAAGTGCTTGGTCTTTGGAACTATGGGCACTGGGTTTGAGCCTCGGTGGAAACATCATCACCCATTGTGGAATGCAGATACATCCAGATGACGAGTTTCAAATAAGATGAAATGTGCGTTGTCCTGGATTCCACTACTAGTCACCCTCCACCAATTAACTTATAATTACATGACCAGACATTGTTGAAGCATCTGCACAAGAAGCCGGCAGACATGTCAACCTAAGAACAAGCACTTCGGTGCAATTAATCGACGGGAAAAATCTTGAATTGAATAGATACTCTTCAGGGTTTGTTTTAATATCGATTCCACGCAAGCTGTGTTGACTAGTGGTGTGTGGTTGTGGTGAACAGGTTCAGATGAAACTTCACTGTCTACATCAAAACATCAGAAAGATGTTCTGGTATTGAAAGAAGTTTGGGGGATTGTTTTTTCCTACAGTCTATATCTTATTTTGTTCTGTTTTCCAATCTGTAAAAGTAGCTACATGTATATTTCAGTGATTATTTTAAGGAAATAGACAGAAGACCAGTAGTTCAGCGAAGAGTCTCTTTTCAGCGGCGAATTCATTTTCATAGCTGTACAATGGCAAATACATATGGTTGTTTTGTATGTGTGTGTGTACATTAAATTTGTCAAACGAAAATACAATTAGTAAGTTCAGATGAATTGGATGTTGATATAAGAGGGTAGTAACAAAAGTAGTGAGTTGTCACAAACGATTGTTAAAGAAGAGTTACGCAATAACATGAATAGTTTAATGAAAGAGTTGTACTCAGGGTGCACATGGAAACACAATAACGTACGGAATTACACAAGGGTTTTGAGTAGAAAAATAAGAATACAAACAAAAGTTTGGTCAAATCAAACAAACAAACAAAGGAAAGTTAAGTCGAATCAACAGAGTTGTTACCATGGGAGTAGAAGTGGTTGAATAATTTTCTTTTGTATGCACAGTTCTGGTTCCTCTAGCTTAATGGCTAGAGCTTCTGCGATGCAAAGAAGACGGAAGGTTGTTCTTAACTTTGTAGATTACTTTGAAGGAGGCGTTTGTTGAGATGTAATGACCAGTGTTGATGAGGTGTTCTGTTATTGCACTCCTTATGCAGCCATTACTTCTTTTCTGCAGCCACGCTGGATAGTGTTCTTTGACCCTTTTTGACAGGATACGCGTTGAACGACTGATGTACCTGGTACCACAGCAACAGGTGAACTGATATATACACATAGAAGTGGTCAGGTGCGGGATCTTATGTTTTGGGCTTCTGCAGATCAGCGGGCGACTAGAGAAGACTATTCTCAATGTTGCCGCAAAGAAAGTTCTTCTTAAAGAGGTGGAGATTCTCCTTCTAAGGACGTCACTGAGTAGGTCTCCTTTGAAGTCGAGGTTCATATTAAGTATCTTTTTTGGCACGGATGGCGTTTCTTGCTTTTGGATTTTTTTGCTTGATGTTTTTGTCTACGAATCTTGATGGGTAACCGTTTTGTATGAAGGTTTCTTTCAGGAAGTTTAGTTCTTCTTCCATGGTATCAGAGCTACAGATGCATCGGACGCGAGTAGCAAGAGATCTAATTAAGTTTCTTTTCCGACTGATTGGTACCCAGCTGTAGAAACCTAAAATTTTTGAACATGTACTGTAAAAAGGACTACTTGTATGATATTAAGACATTTGTCTGTGTTCCATACTAGACAAGTTTATTTTAAATATTACACAGGGATTCAGTATATTAGCAACTGGATGACGTTTCGTGCACAACTGATTGCTTATTTAGATCTTCTGGCTTACTGATTAGGCTCCTGACCCGATTATACAGACATTTAACTAAACCTATCTTTGATGATATTGGATAGTTGGGGGCAATCAGCCACGGGAAGCCTTGCTTCACCTAGGTTTCGTGCTAGTTGGCACTCACCAGTCAGTCAGTCAGGGCGTATCTACAACCGTGAAGGAACTCATATCCCTTCTAGGATTCAAACCCGCGTCACCCTGTGCCAATTGCCTTCAACCATCTAATATCATCAAATCAATGTACACCATGATGGCGAACAGCTACCTAGTGGAATGATGGTCACACTGCAAACCTGACTGACTGATAGAATTCAGTCTGCACCAAAAGAAAGGACTATACGACATCACACTAGTTACTGACTAGTGTCCAATGAAAGTAAATGTATCTTTACCGATTCTGCATGGAGGTATTTATTAGTGTGTCGGTTTCTTATGCATGCTAGTATCTGTCTGTATAATCGGGCCAACAGCCAAACGAGTAAGCCAGAAGACTTAAATAATGAAATTAAACAGAAAAAGGAAATATTACTAGTGAATAACACACTACCTACCAGAATTTATTCAGAAATATATGAAGAACCATAGAAAAACTAAGATTAGTAATAAAAATGACGAAAATAATATAGAATTCGAAGCCTCTGTAGTACTGCCGTACAAAGAAGGAACGTCAGAGGCCCTACGTAGGATTTTCAATGAGGCAATTAAACCAAGCAGCTCTCTCAGAGATAAACTTTGTCAGCTAAAAGACCTAATAGATACAGTTAAGAAAGGTAATACTATAATTGATCAAATACCGTATAATGAATGTGAAGTAAATTACATAAGCCGTCAAACTAGTAGTGGATTCGGGGTCAATCAGATTATTGTAACACAGAAATTTAGCTAAACCTAGAACAATTGACCCTGCTAATTTAAATAACCTAGAAAAAAGTTCAGTCATCGCGCTGTATTCACTTGCATGGGGGAGGGACAGGGTGAAAGTATTAAAAAGTGTGTATAGTTAGGTAAAGAGATAGAGAGAGGTTAATCACTAAAGCTTTGTTCATCGCCGACCCAACACTGCACATGTGCAGTCGGAATGACACAATGCTGCCTATCCCGGTTATGAGCAGTCATAAATTGTTCTCGAAACCTTGTCATCCAGTTGTTAATAATACTGCATCATCACTGTGTGTGATATTTAAAATAAACTTATCTAATATGGAATTACATTCTGCCACAGTGCCCAATTTCTACACTTATATTTGTCTGTATGTGCGTTGGTGGCATAGCGGTTAGGACGCTTGCCGACCATGCACAGGGTCCGGAGTTCGATCCTCGACCACAGACGCACTCCTTTACCTCGCTAAGCAAGAAATAATGCTGGTGAAGAGGAAAGGTTGGGCATGAGGCTAGCAACCCCATCCTGTAAAATTATCACCACTGCTACAGAAACTTCAAGCCACTAGCCTGAAGCCCTATGTTCCACTGGGGAGGAAAGAAAAAAAAACTATCTGTATGCTGTGAAGGTTGAATACAATAGATTGCACTGTTAGAATTACCTTTTCACAGTGTGTTCATGACTATAGTTTAACCTACTGCTTTCTTGACCAATCAATGCCCTAACTTTCTACCCAAATACAAGTACAATAATCCCCTTGGGTTACATTTAGATGATTGTAAATGTTAGCTAAATTTGTGCTATTATCCTAATGATGTATAGATATATATGTTCAATTATGATTGCATAGCATTTTCCTACATGTAGTATTCATAATGAAATCAAAGAAAATTTTCTTTATGGACGAGATTATCTTCAAAGGCTGTGCAACTGTATTTTCATCTAGTAAAATACGCTTAGCAGTCTATTATTGAGTGGTAGGCGATTTGTGCGTCGGTGGCATAGCAGTTAGGATGCTCGCCAACCATGCACATGGTCTGGGGTTCGATCCCCAGCCACCGACGCACTCCTCTACCTCGCTAAGCCAGAAATAATGCTGGTGAAGAGGAAAGGTTGGGCATGAGGCTAGCAACCCCATCCTGTAAAAATTAAACACTGCTACAGACACTTCAAGCCACTAGCTTGAAGCCCTATGTTCCACTGGGGAACGTGAAGGAAAAAAAGGCGATTTGTGCGCGTGTGTGCGTTGGTGGCACAGTGGTTAGGACTCTCGCCGACCATGCACATGGTCCGGGGTTCGATTCCCTGCCGACGCACACCCGATATCTATGGTCGGCCTGCAAAATTTGGGCTACCGATATCACACAGGCTGAAAATTCCATACTTGTACTGAAAATACGGTGTGGCATCAAGCTGTAACCAAAAATAAAATAAAATAAAAATAATTTATAGAGTTACTCAAAAGATATAGCAGTATAATAATACAAAAGATTTTATCTTTTTGGCCCTTGTGTTGTGTGTGTGTAATGGGAGGCGCTAACGATGCGTACTCTGTTTCACCTTGGTTCAAGGATTCAAATCAGTTCAAAACAATTGAACCTTGATCAGGTCACGAAATGATAATCCATGGAATCAAACTTTCAATTAAAGAGATTACAAAATTTAAGATGAAAATTGATCGTAAATTCTCTTGGAAACTAAAAACATTCACATCACAATATATGATTTGCTTGAGACTATAAGTGACGATTATTATTATTATTGTTCCCTTGGGTCCTGAGTGGTACATAGGGCTTCAACAGCACATCTTCACTTTTCTATTCTTTGCGGTCCTCTTTAGCTGGTCCTTCGTCTACCCATAGTCTCTGATCTCCTCCTCCTCCTCCTCCTCACAAGATTTTCTCCATGTCACACTCGGACACATGCCCCACTTGTCGTTACCCATTTGAGTTCCGCTTGAGTAATGACCTGCATTGCACACAATATCATTCGACGACGGCCTCCTTAATGTGTGTGTGCCCAATCCATCTTCATTTTCTCCTACATATATGTTGAACAATAGGTTCTTGCTTCATTTGTTCCACTGCAGAGTTTCTTGTTTCTAATTCTTTCTGGTTAGCCATTTGATCTGTCTGCTAAGTGCAGAAAATTTCCATACCAACTTCAGATTGATCAAGGTGTGTATTTTACCTTTGCGATTCTGGCTACCTTTTGACATCTTCATCCGTGCCCCCCCCCCCACACCTGTAGTTGAAATGATGCTTCCTAGATAAGTGAAAGAAGTAACCTCTTTATAAATTTCCCCCGTTGATAGTGATTGGTGCTGTTTGTTTGGTTACCTTCATCACCTCCGTCTTCTTTATGTTCACCTAGAGCAGGCCTGTCTGTCTTCACTGACTGCTGCTTCTTCAACCAGTTTGTTGGTTTTCACCTTCAAGTCTTCGATTTTGTATGATGATGAAATATGTTGAACAATTCACCGAAAACACCCATTGATTGAGTCATGAAGCAAAAATAAAAGACAAATTCAGCGAAGGAAATGCTTCTTTATCGACGAAATCATCTTCAGAGAGGCTGTGCTGTACAGTCGTATTTATATTTACCAAAAATCAATAGTAGTCTATTATTGAGTAATAGGGGGTGATATAATTGATATAATTACTCAAAAGTGGCTTAGGAAGTAAAAAAATAAAAGTTGTAAATTACGCGGTACTCAACGGCATAAAGTTAGAAATTTGATAAGGTTAAAATCCCTATTGAGTGAGAATAAAAGTGGTAGTTGGGTGTCAATGTAACAAATGTGAAGAGGGTGTGAAAATGTACAAAAGAAACACACGAGAGTGGTAATAATATATTAATTATTAAAGTAAAAGCAAACTAAAAGTGGAAATTAAAAAATTGAAATTTTTTTACAGGGAACGACTAATGAAAAGGTAGAACAAGAGACTGGACAAACTTTTTCGGTATACAGAGTTCGGGATTGTATTGACAGATTGCCAGCGCCTCCGCCATACACAAAAGCCGAAACCTAACGCCCTTTGTACCATTTGGCCTCACCTTGTAGATGATCTTGAAAGACGACTCTGGTGGAACTACGAGGCCTGAGTTCACCAAGTGCTCGAGAATTGAGCTAGTAATTGTCTCTCATTATCCTTTTGCTAACCATGCCGGATAATGTTCAGAGATGCGTTTGGAAAGTGTGCGCTTTGAACGGCCAATATTACTAGCTTCACACGAGCAGATGAATTTATAAACACATATTGAAGTGGCCTAAAGCGGCAGTTTATCCTTCACACATCCATTGATCATTTGTCGGCTGTAGAAATTGGTACGTAGCTCAGCCATAAAGAAGGCTTTCCTCAGTAATCTGCATAAGCGATTCTTCAGGATCTCAACTGCGATATCACCTTTAAATTCAACGCTCATAAATAGCAGTTTCTTTGGCACCGTCTGGGTTCTTTCAGGCTTTTCCCTTAACTTCATGTTTTTCTCTATAAATCTTGGAGGATATCCATTCTCTATGAGGACTTGTCTGAGTTGCTCCAGTTCCCCGTCGATTGTATCACTGGAACACATCCTCCTTATTCTTGAGGATAAGGCGTGGATCAGGTTTCTCTTTCTTCTTCTCAAAGGGACCCAACTATGAAAAGTCGTGTATTGACCATTCCATGTTGGTTTCCTGTAGATCGATCTTTGAAGAGAACCATCAGATCTCCTTTTTAGAAACATCTGAGTAATTCTGTCAATTATGTCACATACATACACGCTATTACTCACTAATGGACTACTATACATTTTCTGGTAAATATAAATACGACTGTAAAGTACAGCCTCTCTGAAGATGATTTCGTCGATAAAGAAGCATTTTCTTCGCTGAAATGTTGAACAATTAAGTCTATTGAAACTGAATGAGTACTCAACATTGTTTTTTTCAAGACGCTTTATGATGCTTATTTATTTATTTATTTTAGAAATAGATTTCGTCTAATTTTTCTTTTTTAAATTTTATTATGATTATCACGCTTCATGTTTTTTTTTTTACAGACTGGTGCAAATTTATCACGATTACGTTCTCCGCGTGTATGGAGTTCAAAGCATAATTCTCTTGATTCAAGTCCTCCACCGTATACACCACCGCCAATGTTAAGTCCAAATCGTCAAGGTTCTGGTTTATTCGCTTCATTGTCAAAATGGTCAACTACACCAACATCGACAAGTACAGGCACAGGCATAGTAGTGGTAGTAGTAGCTCTCTACGTTCACATAATTATCCTGGTGCTGCTGCTACACTAGTTAATCGTCGGTATTCTAGTTATTATCATTATTATAATAATTCATCTAATGTTGTATCCAGTGCAACATCATTATCAAGTAATCTTCATAATGATTTGGATAGTAGTCATAATAATACCAGTGGTCAATTGAAACGTCGTCACGCAAGTAGTAGCGGCGGCGGCATTCATAGTAACAATGATAGCAGTTATAGCAGTAATACCAGTGGTATTGGAGCTTCAAATCAAAGTATCAATATCATGGATCCTAATTATAATAATAATAATAACAGTAATAACTACAATAGCAATTTTATTAATAACACTGATACTTGTATGCGAGATATCAATCGACCAATAGCGTATACACGTAGACGACGTCAACAATTGACGCCTAAATCTGCTCCTGTATTGATTCTCAATACATGTACAAATAAAAATCAGGTATTGTTATTGTATTTATGTATTTATGCATTTATTTTATTCTTTTACGTTTCCAGTAGTGGAACATAAGGGGCTTCAAGCTAGAGTCTTGAAGTTTCGGTAGCAGCAGTGGTTGCTTATTTTTACAGGATGATGGGGTTGCTAGCCTCATGCCCCCAACCTTTCCACTTTACCAGTCTTATTACTGGCTTAGCGCGAGTCAAAGGAGTGCGTCAACATTGCCGGGGATAGAACTCGGGACCACATGAGGCGTGGTTGGCGAGGATTCTAACACTGTGCCACCTACACTTTTTATGATAATGATTTTGGTATGGTTGTGTTCTCTGAGCTGGATAGTAGTTAATTTGCGAAGCTTTCATCACCCTACTAGGTGACATCTTCAGCGCATACTTCAGTCTGTTGAAGTGAGCTTTTAAATTTCTCCACGAGTTTATTAATCATCTTTCTTTATGGATGGCCTTGGACGTGATTGGTTGTTTTTGTGTCTTTTCACACCTTCTAGGCTACTTAAATTGGAACTGATTGTTTCCTTGACTTGAACTTTGATCCTTATCGGTTGATAAATTTTGTCTATATCGATGTGTCCATTGATTGATGATTCACTGGAATACCAGACGGGCTTCTAAAAATTCTCTAGCATTCTTGTTGTTTCCTCTGTCTAATATTTGAACATTGACCCAATGGAACTGATATCCTTTATGAATGGCAGGGATATATCAGAAATCACCACAAGACTCTTCAAACCTTTAGAAATTGACGTCGCACACAAACCAACAAAATCACTTCACTCAGCCGGCTCCATGTCAACCAAAAGACTCAACAACGAAAGAAGATAAAACCAACATCATCTACAAAATAAATTGTAACAACTGCGAAAAACACTAACTAAATTGGCCAAAGTGTACGTCCCCTTCGTCTTCGTATCCATGAACATAAGCTAGTCATCAAAAGACATGATACCCACTCACTCATATCGCCTCACTACATACAGACAACCACGGACATCAATTCGACTGGGACAACCAACGTTCAAATATTAGACAGAAGAAACACCAAGAATGCTAGAGAATTTTTAGGAGCCTGGTATTCCAGTGAATCATCAATCAATAGACACATCGAGATAGACAAAATTTATCAACCGATAAGAAGGAATTCTCACACACAAAGGATCAAAGTTCAAGTCAAGGAAACAATCAGCACCAATACACAAATAGCCTCCAGGGTGTGAAAACACACAAAGACAACCAATCATATGTATGTGTGTTTATATACATAGAATATTCTAGAATAGTAGTAAATAACAATATTAGTGTTTTTTAAATAATATCGATTTGTAAAATAAGATCACAGTGGAATTACAGTTCATTAATGTGTGAAATTAAGATTTGTTGGTATGCGGTAGATGACTTTGAAAGCTGTCTCGTTAACATCAATCTTGTGTTCTGTATCCACAAGATGAGATAGAATAGCGCTATGTGAATGGATTTTGTTTGTCCTTAACTTAACCAACTGTAACAACAGAAGACAAGGGCCAGGCAACAGATCGTTTACTAAGGAAAATCAACACATATTTATAGATTTTAATGTACATTATTGTAGATTATTGTTAGTAGAAAAGGCAGTCTTTTGGATTGGTTGTTTCTCACAGAAAGTTAACCTTGCATCTCTTTGTGGCTGTGTCAGATCATCCATATGCTAACTGTATCCGCCCGCCTACACAAAGCCTTTGTTCTCATCATTTTCTCACCACCAATATTGGGGACATAAACATTGACGTCAATTACTGTCTACCAACTTTGGCTAGCAGCCAGCTCTCACCACATAGCACCTACCTATCCACTTGTCTATCTATCTACCTACCCACCAACCTACCTGAGAGTGATTAACTAAGCTGCTTCTTAGTTAATGCTTAATTTAACAATTGACAATATTTCTGTGATATACAATCGAATCTGTACTTAAAGTATATATATATATATATATGTTAGGGCTGAATGTATCCCACATGTTATTACACACTATTCAAGCATATTAGAATAATTGTGCTTTTAAGCTTTATATTATTTGTATAACCTAATGACATGTTTTTAATGCTGTCAGACATATACACATATTGATTATAACTGAAATCATATGCTCTCTCTCTATATATATATATATATATATATATATATATATATATATGCATGCATTTCATTGTTTCTGCAATAAGAACGACAACCGTAGCTTAAAAAAGAGAAAATGACATCGGTTATAATTCGAATAAACGACAGACTGTGACTAGTGTGTACGTATGCTATATAATGACTTTTTGATGTTCATCAATATATATATGTATAACTGTGACAATCGAAAAAAAAAATAAAGAATTTTTTCTAACATTTAACTACTATTAGTGAAGGGAATTATCAGTTTTTACCAAAAGACAATGATGATTATGATGATGTGATGTGATGAATACATTTTTATCAACTTGTGTAAAGTGTCATGTTGAAAACACTTTGGGGATATTTTCAAGTATTGGTTTCTTCTGCGTTCGGGAATAAAAGACAAACTGCCTAATTTCGCCTCTTCTCCATGTGTATATATACCAATTTAACTGCTCCTGTGGAGTGAGCCAGTTAGTTGCATAGGCCGTACAATTAGGCGTGTTTCTCGTCTCGGATTTCCGAACATCACCCTACCTGGTTCAGCAAAGGACAAACAAAATCTATTCACAAAGCGCTATTCTGTCTCATCTTGTGGATACGCAACACAAGATTGACGTTAATCATGTGTGTCGGTGGCACAGTGGTTAGGACTCACGCCGACCATGCACATGGTCCGGGGTTCGATCCCCTGCCGACGCACACCCGATATCTATGGTCGGCCTGCAAAATTTGGGCTACCGATATCACATGCTGAAAATTCCATACTTGTACTGAAAATACGGTGTGGCATCAAGCTGTAAATCAAAATAAAAAATTAAAAAATAAAAATTTCAGGGTCATTTACCGCATACCAACAAATCTTAATTTCACATTAAGAGTTCGACTACTAAATATTGCTGAGGGTGTGGGGATCCATATATTAACAAGCCTAATTTATGCATCCAAAAGAAGTTAGTTTAGACATTATCCTTACCTTGGCCATCCAGGTTTGAATAATCCGGAATTTTTGTGGAATTTCCCTAATTTCAGTTGAGATTCTCTTCGCTATTATATCTTTATTATTTCTATAATTTCACTATCTTTAATGAACTGTAATTCCACTGTGATCTTATTTTACAAATCGATATTATTTAAAAAACACTAATATTGTTATTGACTACTATTCTAGAATATTCTATGTATATAAACACACATGCATATGATTGTAGAGCCAGAAGAGGGGAAAATTATCGAAAAGGGTATTCTTCGCTCAATTATTTTGTGTTTTATAGATAGATGTCTGAATGAATATTTTTGCTATATTTGATGGATCGGTTAGAGAACCATTAGAAAGCCAGAACTGGGAGTACTGGACAGCCAGCTGTTTCGCCAGCCTAGTACTTGCGACTCTTTAGCAGTACGCACCCATACTGGGGTTTGTTTGTTTTTCTCCTCCAATAGAATTAGAAATCCTAAAATGCAGTCATCAACATCGTTTCTTTTTTAAAAAATTCAATTTTAAATTTTTCCCGTCGATTGATTCGACCAAAGTACTCGGTCTCAGGTTGACATGTCTGTCAGCTTCTTGTGTAGATGCTTCGACGATGTCTAGGCATGTAATTATAAGTTCATTGGTAGATGGTGACTAGTAGTGGGCGCTGGGTTCGAGCCTCGGTGGGAACATCATCACTCACTAACTTGGGAGTGCAGGTGCATCAAGATGACGAGTCCCAAATAGGATGAAGTGCGCGTTGTCCTGGATTCCACCACTGCTAGTCACCATCCACAAATTCACATCGTTTTCTTTTTGTTTTGTGCATTTCTATTGAGAACAAGTTCTATGGAGACAGGGTGAGAGAGGGGACAACGTCATCTTTAATAAATATAGACTGAAAGACTAAGAGAGACAAAGAAAGAAGTGACAAATTAATCCCACTGTGTTCTCCTTCACAATAGTTTCTGATTTTCATTTCCTTTAAATAGTGACAAAAGATATACTGACTTGCAACACTAGACTGATTTTGACACGTCTATGCCTTAAAATTCATATCTTAACTATTAACAACACTAATAACTTAGACTTCAGGATCGATAGATTTTGATAGAATATTTAGCATCGAATGATATAAATCCTTTGCAAAATAAGAAGCCTTGTGCTCACCTCTTTGCAAATACTGTAGAGCTTTTCATCATTAGACCAGTGTGCAATGAATTTTTAGCGAGTTGGGGATTGACTGATTGCCAGAGTACAGTCTCGTCAACTTAGAATATGTGGATTATATTGTCCTCCTAGGTGTCAAGACCCTGAGCGAAAACCCCCGAATATTCGCCATGCGATTTGTTTCTGTTAGATGTAAGATGATAATGTTGCAGGAATGGAGTGCATCGACTCCCACTCTTTGAAGACAGAGAGTGAAGTGATGGAGTGTGTTGTGAATGCTTCACTTATTTGAGAAGTTGCATCAGCCCCAATGGTTTGATCGCTGATGAAATCTCAGCAAGGAAGCAGAAAGGTCATGTGAGATTTGCGAACCTTTGTCTACTCTGGCGTAGACGTGATATCTGGCTATCTATCAATGGACGTGTGTGTGTACTGCCTAGCATTTTGATCTGTCCTTCTTTATGGCTGTGACAAATGGCCATTGAAAGCGGAATAAATGAGAAGGCTACGCTGTCTTTGATCTGATGGTGGATAATGTTGTGGTTAAGCGTAGAATGTTTAGGTATCGAGGGTAAATCGATCGATGAGGCTGTGAAGCTAAATCGACTGAGATCGCTATTACACATGTGTTACACGTGAGGAGCCACCACCGTCGTTGAGCAATGTTGGCTGACATAGGATCAGCTTGGAAAAGATTTAGCTAGTGGTGGTGGTCAAACCAAAACATGGCAACATCAGTCAATGAAATCTCTGTTTGAGCCACATAAGGAAGTGTAGACTGTCAGGCTGATAGGGGTCCTCGACATTCTTAGAACCACACTGGCTGGAAACTATTGGTCATATAGCTCAAAGTCGTTGGTGCAGATCCTTTCACTCTTTGTGATTTCCACCCTAACCCCCCCCCACCACTCATATCCGTTAAATGCTCATGTTTTTCCATGTGTTGCTTTTCTTTCTCCGACACATTTCTGTTTATTACAGTTCTCTTGAATGTCTTAAAGTTACCTTTATGTACTACATGGAGTGTGCCAACTTGAATCACTGCACATCTGTGCAAAGTTCTTTATAATTGAAACTCAGTTAGTCAGCAAGCATTATGGATAGTGGAATTCCAGACTTTAAGATTTGATATTTGAGATCGTGTTTGTGTATCACGTAAAAAGGTTTCAGCATGTAGAGCAGAACGTCTATAATATTTAGATCTTCTTTGGTTTTCACCGGTTTCCTAATTGTCTATAGGTGCTGTAGCCATCACGTGTTTATAAATGCTGCCAGGGGGTAGAACACCACTTAGAATGACTTGCTCAGATTAACCTCTGGAGTAGTCAGTCCCTGACTCTTGTATCCGGACTGTGTAGTGAAGTGTAGGTTACCTGACTAGTGTCTTGCAGAGATGATTGAAACTCATAGTTGGAGACTAAGTTTGATATGACTCAGAAACTGTCATAACAATCCAGATACATTCATAAATTTACCTCATGGGACTCCTTTCATTTTGTTCCATCTTCTCAGCAATTTAACTTTCTACCAGCCTCTAACTGATTGAATTCGATCAGTACTTTAGAATTAATAGTTAAATTCGATGATTCATTGGAAAAGAATTCGCCCAGTTTTATTGAGCCTTTGAAAACATATGTTTCATGAAGGATGAAGATATATATATATATATATATATATATTCGAATTATATTATTCGAATTTTATTAACCATCAAAATATATAATTGGTGGATGGTGACTAGCAGTGGTGGAATCCAGGACAACGCGCATTTCGTCCCAGTTGGGACTCGTCAACTGGATGTACCTGCACTCCCAAGTCAGTGAGTGATGATGTTCCCACTGAGGTTCGAACCCAGTGCCCATAGTTTCAAACGCCAAAGCGTTATCCACTAAACCACTTGGGCCACGAGATCCACCTATTTCTTGTGCAACGGGTCATATTAATTATTTAATTGAATTTTAGATTTTCCCGTCGATTGATTGGACCGAAGTGCTCGGTCTCAGGTTGACATGTCTGTTGGCTTCTTGTGCAGAAATGCGCGTTGTCCTGGATTCCACTGCTAGTCACCATCCACCAATTAACTTATAATTACATGACCAGACATCGTCGAAGCATCTGCACAAGAAGCCGACAGACATGTCAGCCGGAGACCGAGTACTTCGGTTCAATCAATCGACGGGAAAATTTAAAATTCAAATCAAAAAATTACATAAATTGAAGTCAGTTCCTTTGAAGGTCACTTGTTGGCTGGTAAACATTTGTACCAATAGAAAAGTGTAAACAGTCATCACATATTTGTAATGACTAATGTCAAATTGTCATATATGCGTATTTGTCTGTATGAGTGTGCGTGTGTGTGTATGTTGTTTGTAATGTGATGAGTGCCAACTAGCACGAAACCTAGGTCCAAGGCTTCCTGCCGATTGCCTCCAACCATCTAATACCAACAATTCAAAGTGCACTGTAATGGTGAGCCACCTAGCATGGTGGCCACATTGCAAACATGACTGATAGAATTCAGTCTGCACCGAAGATAGGACTAGACGCATTACACTAGTCACTGACTAGTGTAAAAAACACATCAAAACACGATAATATTTCATAATATGGTCGTAATTTAGCATAGAATTTGTTTTCCTCCCTCATCTGTCTTGCTTCATTAGAGTTTGCCGTATAGGTGATAAGTCTATCCTTTCTCTCCTCATTACTGCATTCGATGTGATTGATATGTGCAAGACTTCAGAGGTCAACCTTTCCTAATGTGGATGAAATCCTCTTCCTAGAATTTCGACATTGTCGAAATCAATCTTATGTCCGCTGTCCATAGATAGCATGCATTGCTATAGTCGATCTTTTCTCTAGACTTTTTAATTCTACTTCATTTCTAGGTGGACATTTCGTGCATAGTCTATGTTCATTCACTCTGACCATCAGCTATCTGCTGCTCTCCCCTATATAGATAGCATGCTTCACATTCTGAACACTTTATCCTATAGACACAGTTGTTGTTTTGTTTCATTTTTGGATACATATCTATGATACTTATCAAAGCTTTCTCTAAAGAATTAAAGGGCTTGAAATTTAGACTTTAATATTATATAAAGCAAGTAGTCGTCTTTGAAGTTGTTCAACTGTCTTCTTCTTTCAATATAGAATGGCTATCGTCGATAGGCAAGGGTTTTTTCTTTTCAATTTTTTCTTGTTTTGATTTTTTTTCTTAAACACTCTGAGATTATTTTAAATAATAATTAATAATGCATCAATCTGACTCAGTGCTTAAATTATTCAAGGGAATCGGTAACATCTACGGTCTGGAAACTTTTACAACAACAACAACAACAGACACTGCAGTCTCACTGTTTCTGGTGATCAGTTGTTAGTCATCCTGTCACTGAGATAGGCAACCATGAGTTTTTACGAGTTGATCATGGATTGATATCAGTTAGAGAAGCATTGAAAACCAGCCACAGAGAGTACTGGACAGCTGCTGTTTCATCCTAGTTCGGGAATCATCGGCAGTACGCACTCACCATCAGGCTTCGAAAAGAGGACCTTCCGGTTACAAAGCGAGTTCGTATACCATTCAGCCACTGGGACCCAACTCGACAATGGCCAGCCAGTGTATGAATTCTAACTTCTACCAATTCGTGATTTAGCGTGACCACCAACCAATGCCGTCGGTGTGAAATCCATCCTCACACTTGACATCTAGGTGGACCTCACTGGTCACGACTTCTCACTAGAACTCCAGGAAACTCCATCCTGTAGCCAGTCACTCGCTAGGGAGCATCAGATTAATCTTCTATAGTTTGGTTTGTAAGGATTAGTTTTGTTTTTACGAGTTGATCACGGATTGACTGGTGACTTGCTACAGGATAGAGTTTCCTGGAGTTCTAGTGAGAAGTCGTGACCAGTGAGGTCCATCCAGAGGTCACGTGTAAGGATGGATGTCCCACCGACGACACTGGTTGGGGTCGCGCTAAATCACGAATTGGTAGAAGTTAGAATTCATACACTGGCTGGCATTGAGTTGGATTCCAGTAGCTGAATGGTATACGAGCTCGCCTTGTAACCGGAAGATCCTGGCTTCGAACCCCACTGTGGTGGGTGCGTACTGGCGATGATTCCCAAACTAGGATGAAACAGCTGTCCAGTACTCCCTGTCCCGTTTGTTTTCAGTAGTTCTCTAACTGATATCAATCCGTGATCAACTCGTAACAACAAAACTAATTCTTACAAAGCAACTATAGAAAATGAATCTGATGCTCGCTAGTGAGTGACTTGCTACAGGACAGGGTTTCCTGGAGTTGTAGTGAGAAGTCGTGACCAGTGAGGTCGATGCAGTCACGTGTGAGGATGTATGTCCCACTGATGACATTGGATGGGGTCGCGCTGAATCACGAATCCGCAGAAGTTGGAATTCATGAACTGGCCATTGAATGGCGTCCCAGTGGCTGAAAGGTATACAAACTCGCCTTGTAACCGGAAAGTCCTGGCTTCGAACCCCACTGTGGTGGGTGCGTACTGGCGATGATTCACAAACTAGGATGAAACAGTAACTGTCCAGTACTCCCTGTGGCTGGTTTCCAATGGTTCTCTAACTGTGATATCAATCCGTGATCAACGCGTAGAAACAAAACTAATCCTTACAAACCAAACTATAGAAAACCATGCGTTTGTCATACTTCGATTGATTTAATCATTCCGTTGTTTCATATAATTTAATAGTGAAATTATTTGAATGTGTAAACAAAATCTTTGTATTCAAGTTCACTTTTTGTTTGTTTGTTTTTTGTTTCCTCCCCGCCCCCGCTTCCGCCCCTCCTTCCCTTTCCTTTAATCTCTGTAGACAAATCAATCCAAAGATCAATTTGACGATAATGAAGACGATACAATCATCAATGAAACACACCAGCCAACATTTTCTAGTACCGACACTATATTCGGTTATGATGATGAAACAATGCGTCGATTTGCTGAAGCTGATGCTGTTCACGAAGCCTATCGATTAAGTCGACAAAAACAACGTCGAAATAATTATGCTTCACGTCGTCATAATTATAATTCAGAATCTGATCTTATTTTAAATAATAATAATAATAATGATAATATCAATGAAATGAATCACTGTGAAAAGAAAAAAACTGATCAAAGTTTTAATTTTACTGATGAACAGCTATTAAACTTTGATTTTGAAATGAAAACTTGCGGTGAAACTGATTACCCGGAAACAGCTATACAATTTAATGAAGATGTTGAATTTGGTTCAGGCGATGAAATGGACGATGATGATGATGATGAAGAGATCGATGACGATGATGATGATGATGAAGGTGTACCGACCAGTATTATCCCGTTAGTAATAATTGTGATAACGTTGTAACATCATCAGTGGGGTGGTGGTCTATCAAGTCATACAAGAGGACAGTTACTTGTCCTCTTGGAATGCATGGGCTAGCCATTTGGTCGGGTCCCGGTGGTTACTGAGTGGTCTACGAGCTAGCTCGCTGACCTTGTAACCGGAAGGTCCTGGGTTCGAACCTCTTGTGATGGCTGTGTATTGATGAAGAGTCCGAAACTAGGCTGACGAAACAGTTGGCTGTCCAGTACTCTCTGTTGACTTTCTAATGGTTCTCTAACCGATGTTAGCTCATGTTAGCGATCCTGTAATCCCAACTCGTGACCAAACCGGTAACCAATAAAACCGCTGCAAACCAACACTTGATTGTTGTGATGATACAAACAGTGGTCATTGTTATTCCTTCATCACTCACATTTAAAAGTGATGAGAATACTTTTTGAGCCAAGGGGTGACAGGGTTTAAGCTAAGTAATTCAATTGTTCTAGAAAGTAGCAATTCCCCATGGATGAAAATAAACCACCTATCTGTATTGACTTTATATTAACTTATTTTTTTTGGAAAGTTTTTATTATCTCATTCAGTAAATTGAATGTTCGTCGGTAGTTCAATGGTAGAATGCTTTTTCCACCCAGTCACATCTTCCAGGTTCCATTCCCGTCGGATGCATTCTTAGATCTTGTCCAACCGGTAGTAAGGCTTGTAAAGAGTGAAAGGCATACATTTGTAATCTGTTCTGTAATAATAGTGTAACGACAGAAGACAAGGGCCAGGCTACAGATCGTTTATTGAGGAAATCAGCAGATATTTATAGATTTTTATGTACATTATTATTCGTTATTATTAGCAGAGAAACAGCGTCTTCTGATTGGTTGTTTTCTCTCTGGAAGTTAAACTGTCATCTCTTTGTGGCCATTTCTTTGAAGGTCAGACCATATATATCTGCGAATCGTATCCGCCCACGCAAAGTCTGCTGTGATTGGTTGTTGAGTTAGTCTTTGTTCTTGTTTTTTTCTCATGACCCCGATTTGGGACGTAAACATTGACGTAAATTGCTGCTATTTACCAATTTTAGCTAGCAGACAGCTCTCACCACAAATAGACGTGTTACCAGTGTGCTATTCGGATCCATGATTATTGACTCACTACTATAGAACCATAATGGTGTGTCTAGTCTGTATTTTGTGCTGATTTGTGAAACAACAACAGTATTGATAACATACATTTCCAACTGAGTAGTTAGAAATTTTTACCAGCAATTTTCATTCTCTATTTTCTTTTAAATAAACATGTAAACGTATACAGAGATGTCATAAGTCTAAGTTTATCGAATCAATGGTTCTTCAGTATGAATACTGTTAGACTTGACAAGTTGAAGATAATAGATATATCGACTTGTAAATAAGTCAGTCTGTTGGTCAACAATTTGTGCGTGTACTGATTCTGAAAACTAATTCAGATTGAGTGTTTAAGGAATCAATAATTATCCTGATGGATGAGAAATGGGATTCTTCCTCATTTAACAATGTTTTAGTACATTTGTTACACCTAGTAGTAACATCGAAAATGTGACTTTTGTCATAATAGTTTAGGCACTTGAATTCTCTCGCACAGTCGTTTTTTTATATGTACTAAGGTATACTGTAATTTGTGCTTTAAGATTTTTAACTTGCTAAAGAAACTTTAGTTGAGTTTTACGTATGAGTATGAGTGTAAATCCTATAATTATTTGTCTGGATTCATAGCATCGAACAGTTTGCGGTAGGTGGTTGTGTTTATTTAGCTTTCTGCACAAGATACTTGTTTTGCTGTCACTCTCTCTCTAATCTCTGGGATAATCATACTCATTCCAGATGCTAAAAGCTGGAAAAGCAGCAGGACCAGATGGAATCCCAGCAGAAGCATTGAAAATGGACCCAGAGACAACAGCGGACTTGATGACACCACTACTGGAGAAGGTGTGGAAAGAGAGCAAAGTACCTGAGGATTGGAAGAAAGGATACTTATTCAAACTACCAAAGAAAGGAGACCTAAGTCAATGCAAGAACTGGCACGGAATTATGCTCCTGTCCATCCCAAGCAAATACTAAGCCGCATCATCCTGGAGAGAATCAAACATGCCCTGGATGAAAAACTTCGACCGGAACAGGCTGGATTCAGGAGAAACAAGTCATGCATTGATCAGATCGCTACATTACTGATCATCATTGAACAAAGCTTGGAATGGCAGTCACCTCTCTATCTCAACTTCATCGACTTTGAAAAGGCCTTCGACAGCGTCGATCGAGAGGTGCTTTGACAACAACTTCGCTACTACTGGTTGCCGCTAACAATTATACATCTCATCCAACAGCTGTACGACAATGCTGCATGCCAAGTAATCCACAACGGGAAACTTACGGAATCCTTCGAAGTGAGGACAGGAGTAAGACATGGCTGCCTACTATCTCCAATGATTTTCCTGATTGCAGTAGACTGGATAATGCGACAAACAGTGGCGGGCAATGAGGAAACAGGCATAAAATGGACTCACACAAAAAACTTGGAGGATCTGGACTTCGCCGATGATATATGTCTGATTTCCCACAAACTGGAAGATATGCAAGCGAAAAGCAACAAGTTGGCAGAAGAAGCATCAAAGATAGGACTTCAGGTGAACATAGATAAAACAGAGGTGATGAAGATTCCTGGGCAACACCACCAACAGCAACAACAACAACAGACAACAATCAGCATAAATGGAAGGAACCTGAAAGAAACAACCTCTTTTACCTACCTAACTGGGAAGCATCGTTTCAACTACAGGTGGACGGAACTGACGAGGATATCAAAGCAAGAATCATCGGAAAAGCAAGACAAGCTTTCACTACTCTCAAGTCTGTGTGGAGGTCAACAGCACTCAGCATCGAAAATAAGGACCAGATTTTCAAATCCAATGTGAAAGCAGTGCTACTATACAAATCAGAGACTTGGCGCGTCATAAAGAGCACCTCAAACAAACTACAGACCTTCATCAACAGCTGTCTTCGCTCAATACTCGCTCAAGATCAGATGGCCGGCCAGAAAAGATCAGCAACAGGGATCTCTGGGAACAAACCAACCAGGAACCGATTGTGAAACAAATAGGCAGATGAAATGGAGATGGATTGGCTGGCCATACTCTGAGGAAACAATCCATCAAGTGACATCACTAGACAAGCCATCACTCGAGTGGAACCCGAAAGGGAAGCGGCGAGTTGGTCGTCAGTGCAAGGGTGAGGGTGACTTGGAGGAGGTCATGTGAAGAGGAGATGAAAGCATGTGGGCAGACTTGGAGCCAGGTGAAGACTCTAGCAGAGAACCGAACGCAATGGAGACGCACGGCTGAAGCCCTATGTTCCTCTAGGAATTAAAGGAAATAATGATAATAATAATAATCCTGTCCTGTAGTTCTGAGTTCTTGGTATTGTATCCTCTGAACTGGTTGGTTTAATTGGGAAGCTTTCATTGTTCTTTTAGACGATATCTTCAGCGGTAACTTCAAGTTGAATATATCTAGCTCAGCGAACACAATAACAAAGTCGTCCACTTAAGTCATAAATCTCTTCCATTATTACAATAAATAGTGTTATTCAAGTATTGGTTTGCAGCGGTTTTATTGATTACAGGTTTGGTCACGAGCTGGCATCAGTTAGAGAACTATTAGAAAGCCAACTGTTTCGTCAGTCTAGTTTCTGACTCTTCAGCAGTACGTACCCACCGCCAGGAGGTTCGAACCCAGAGATGTTCCGGCTACAAGGCTGGCGAGCTCGTAGACTGTTCAGCAGCAGCCATTGGGACCTGACTCGACCCAATGGTCAGCCCATGAATTCCAACTTCTGCCAATATAATGCTGTTAATCAAACATTTCAGAAGAATAATTTGTGAAATGAATAGTCGAATAGAGTAAATATTTAGACTTCATCAGACGATTGGTAAAAACCTAATTTGAACAAAGCAAGAAAAACAGTGTGGTTTTTGCAGAATAAAATGGTACCATCATTGTTTATTTCGTTGGCTTCCTTCTCATCAGCTGCTTACAGGCCAAAGTCATTATTAAATATATCTACAAAAACAATTTTAACATACTTGCACAGAGTTCATTTTAAACAAAAATCAATCGATCAATATACGCATACAGTAATAATATATACATGTATAATATTAAACACTATTCCGAACAATAATGATCATACACAATGGGAACTTTTCAGCATTACGCATTCAGATGAAAGAGAGATGAAAATATCCAGTTACCAGGGCTCAGTGGTAACGCCTCTGACTGCAGCACTGGGTGACGCGGGTTTAAATCTCAAAAGGAGGGCGATCAGTTCCTTCAAGGTTGCAAATACGCCTTGCCCTGGTAACTGGATATTTTCATCTCTCTTTCATCTGAATGCGTATTTATATGTATGTATATATTATTAGTGTATGCAAATATTGATCGATTGATTTTTGTTTAAAATGAACTCTGTGTAAGTATGTTAAAATTGTTTTTGTAGATATATTTAATAATGTCTTTGGCCTGTAAGCAGCTGATGAGAAGGAAGCCAACGAAATAAACAATGATGGTACCATTTTATTCTGCAAAAACCACATTGTTGTTCTTGCTTTGTTCAAATTCATTAAGGGGGGAAGAAATGTATGAAAAACCGAATTGTTCAACATGTATTGGAAAAGAAAGGTGAAGTGTGAATAAATTCTATGCATAAGTTTTGTTGATTTGTTTACACAGATCACCATTGTACAAAGATTATATATGACCCCATTGTTCAAGCCTTGTGTTATATTGACAATACTATACAAAGCAGAACTTATAATTTTCCTTACACAACTTAGAATAACGTTCTTTCAAAATAACTATCCTTTCTTTGAATGGATCTTCCCTTCTTCATACTTGTTTTTTCTTGCCGCCTCCCCCACCCGCTGTATAACCCCATTGATACATGTTGAGATAACAGACGTCTGCTGATGGGTTTTGGATACAAAACACACCCACGGACGAAATACATCATAATCTGTTCACATTAGCTGGTGAATTAGTTAATCTGAGCAAATCTCTTATGGAATTTTTTTTAAAATTATTTTGTCTACCCTCTTTTGTTTATTTGTGTTTTAGACATATTAATATTGGTAATGCCTATCAAGCAGTGATCCCTGATTTGTGCCAAGGTGAGTAACACTCAAGTTTTTCAAATTTCTATTTCTATTTTTGAAGTAATCGTGTTGTCACGTGTGTACTATTGACAAGATTTATTTGTAAGTAATGTAAGGAGGCGTTCATTGGCACTGAGTGAAGAAAGACATGACGTCATAGAGGAGCAAACCCGAAAACTAACAAACAAAGACAATTCGAAGGAAGGGCAGAAGTAGTGTAACAACAGAAGACAAGGGCTAGGCAACAGATCGTTTATTAAGGAAATCAAAGCATATTTATTATATATTTTCATGTACATTATTATAGTTTAGTTAAGCAAACAAACACAGTCTTCTGATTGGTTGTTTCTCACTTAAAGTTAATCTCTCATCTCTTTGTGACTGTTTCTTGAATGTCAGATCATCTATATGTTAACTGTATCCGCCTACGCAAAGTCTGCTGTGGTCGGTTTTGAATCAGTCTTTGTTCATATTTTCTCACGACAAATCTTGAGAACGTAAACATTGACGTAAATTACTGTCTACCAATTTGGCTAGTAGACAGCTCTCACCACAGTATAGCACAAAACGGAAGATCTATGCAGCAAATGACGATTTTCTGATAGGGGGTGTACATAATTTCGCTATATATATATATATGCAGAGATATCAAATTCCAGATAAACATTCTGTTACTTTGCCAAATCTCTTGTCTTCTATCGTCACACTAGTAGTAGATGGGTAGAGATAAACAAAGAGGCGGGTAGACAAGAACATCATAAGATCCGGTGTGTGTTATAAGTATAAAACTTGGGCACTGTGGTGCTGGTAGAGTATAACTCCATTATGGATAAGTTTTTATTTTGATAAGTCACACAGTGTTTGTTATACAGTAAGTAATATTAACTGATGACCACGTTTCGAGCACAAATTATTGCCACTCATAATCATATCAAGTCACTCACTCACACAACTTTCTTCCTTCATTTATATACATGTGTGGAGTTGACTAGATATTTGAATAAAAATCAATATGGGATAATGTACATTCAGAAATAATAATAATGAGTGTTATTGATCAATTACAATCAGATGGGAAATAAGACGAGTGTTTTTATAGTCAGAATAAATGAGTAACTTGTTAGAATGTTGTGATGTGCTTGAATTGAAATAGAATTTTGAGATTATTTATTATCCTCCTCTGATTTGACTGACTGATGGTAATAATATCTTCCATATTTCTGGTATTTGCATTGAGTCATTTCTATTGCAAGTGTTGTGTTGGATGTAGACTCGATGAACCAGTCAGGATTCAGTGATCAAACTCTCTCTCTCTTCACCTACCTAGATTACTTTTTAGAATCTTAACCCTTCCCCACCATGCTATTGTGTGGTTGTGTGTTGATGCATGCAGTGCAATCGCTGAGTTTTGTTTTCTAAATTACTAATCTTCACGGGTGGGGTCAACCATTCTTACCTTAGCTAAATTCTTATGTTCCGACAATCTGACTACCCCCGATCTACTAGTTTGACCTATGTAGTTGACCTGACTCACAGTTATTGCAGGGTATTTTGTAAATTATATTATTTTGTCTAATTGGGTCCCGGTCTTTTAGCCTACAGAGCTTGTCCTTGAGTGAGTTTGTAGTTCTTGTGTGTGTGTGTTATTGTCTTATTGTAGTGTGTTATTGTAGTTGTATAGGTATTCTCTGCTGCTCTTCTGCAAATCATCATTGCACTCGTAAAAGAAAGATTTTTAATTTTCAACTGTTGGTTTGTAGCTGTTTTTTTGTTGTTGAGTGGTTATATATTTGACATCAGTTAGAGAACCACTGGAAAACCAGCACTGTGATTATTGGATAGTTGTTTCATCCTAGTTCTGAACTCTTCTGTCGTACGCCTCCAGTGGGGTTCGAACCTAGGATCTTCCGGTTACAAGGCCAGTGAGCTTGTAGACTTTTCAGAGACCACTGGAACTCAATCCACGAGGAAATAACTGTCCCACGCTCTCATTGACTTTCGATAATTCTCTAACTGATATCGATTATTGACCCGAAATCTTCCTTAGCAAGCGAAACCAACAAAAGTGAGAGCAAACAGGAGTGTTCAGTGAGAAATTCCATTGAATGATGATTCATATGGCGAAGAAAACAAAAAATCTTGAATCCTATCTGTAGGATTTGAATCTGTGATCTTCTGTTCACACTTACGCCTGTATCCTTCTAGCCTCTTAAGATAAGAGATGCATGATATCATTTCATTTTGAAGGAAATCCGATTTGTATCTGATCAACATCTGAGTATTTTAGTTTATAAAATAATTGAGCAAAGAATATCCTTTTCGATAATTTCCTCCTCTTCTGGCTCTACAATTATATACATGAGTGTGTTTATATACATAGAATATTCTAGAATAGTAGTCAATAACAATATTAGTCTTTTCTAAATAATTTTGATTTGTTAGGTAAGATCTCGATGGAATTACAGTTCATTAAAGATGCTTAAATAACAATAATAATAATAAAGATATAATAGCAAATAGAATATCAAATAAAATTAGGAAAATTCCACGAAAATTGAGGATCATTGGAACCTAGATGGCCAAGGTAAGGATAATGTCTGAACTAACTTCTTTTTGGATCACAAACTAGGCTTCTTGATGTGGATCTTAACAGTAAGCCCCAGCAATATTTAGAAATCGAACTCTTAAGGCGAAATTGAGATTCGTTGGTATGCGGTAAATGACTCTGAAGGCCTGGTTAATGTCAATCTTGTGTTCTGTATCCACAAGATGAAATAGAATGGCGCTGCGAATAGGTTTTGTTTGTCCTTTGCTTAGCCACACAGAGTGATGTCCGGAAATTCGACGAGAAACACGCCTAATTGTACTGGCTATACATTAAGAAGCCTAATTTATGCGTCCAAAAGAAGCTAGTTCAGACATTATCCTTACCTTGGCCATCTAGGTTTGAATGATCCTCAATTTGTTGTGGAAATTTCCCTAATTTTAGTTGATATTCTATTTGCTACTATATCTTTGTTATTATTATAATTTAAGTATCTTTAATGAACTATAATTCCATTGTGATCTTAATTTACAAATCGATATTATTTAAAAAACACTAATATTGTTATTGACTACTAATCTAGAATATTCTATGTATATAAACACACATGTATATAATTGTAGAGCCAGAAGAGGAGGAAATTATCGAAAAGGATATTCTTTGCTCCATTATTTTGTGTTTTATAGATGTCTGAATGAATATTTTTGCTTTATTTTAGTTTAATCTGAAAGAACAATAAACAGGTACTTAGAAAAGAGGCTAGTGGTTTGATGAGCCACGTCATTGTCACTCAAGATTTTGGCTTGACTTCAATTTTTTCATTTTTTCTTTTCTGTTACATTCCCAGTAGAAAATAGGGCACCTTCAAGTTAGAGCTGTGAAGTTTCGGTAGCAGCAGTGGTGGTTTATTTTTACAGGATGATGGGGTTACTAGCCTCGTGCCCCCTCCAACCTTCCCTGTTTACCAGTCTTATTACTGGCTTAGCGCGAGGCAAAGGAGTGAACTGTGACCAGGGACCGAACCTGGGACTACATGAGGTGTGGTTGACAAGCATTCTACCTCTGTGCCACCGACGCACTACTTTATACTGTATATATATATATATATATATATATATATAGAGAGAGAGAGACGTTTTCAGAGTCACATGTACCTATTGCCAGAGTCAAAACTACTTGCGTAGGCGTTATGCAGGCTGATATTTTTGATTACGATGTCATCAACCATTGATTATATATATATATATATATATATATTGATAAAATAAGATATAATTTTCTTGATTTATTGACTTTTTTTACTACAATTACTTCTCCACAACCTGACTTGCGTGTTTGTGTATACGTTTATCGAAATGTGTATTAATTCTTCTATGATTCTGTTTGCGTCGGTGGCATAGCGGTTAGGACGCTCGCCGACCATGCACATGGTCCGGGGTTCGGTCCCCGGCCACAGACGCACTCCTTTACCTCGCTAAGCCAGAACTAATGCTGGTGAAGAGGAAAGGATGGGCATTAGGCTAGCAACCCCATCCTTTAAAATTATCACCACTGCTAAAGAAACTTCAAGCCACTAGCTTGAAGTGCCCTATGTTCCACTGGGGAACGTGAAGGATAAAAAAAATGATTCTGTTTCATTTGATAACACTTGACAATATTTCAATATTCTTGTGTTCTACTTATTAAGTCTCTGTATTCCTTTTAATTATCTCAATCAAAAATATTGTAATCTATGCCATTGTTAATTTATTTCAGAGTCAGCAACAGCAACATCAGGGAATAAAGATTCATCAGAATGGGAAACGTTACTATGGTATCCGGCGAATCTTGATGAAGACGATCCTAAAAATATTGAATCATGTAAGTTGTTCTTTTTTTTTCATTTCTCTTGTCAGTAATATGGTTTATGCTGACAATGGCTTTTTATAATATCAAAAATGGCGGCATTATATAATATACTAGATACCAAAGTCAAATGGCCTTGAACAAACCAATCAGATCCTTCTAGGTGAAAAGTGGCATTTTCAAGTAATAGTTTTGTAGGGATTTTGTTTGATTGCATGGAGGATTTCATCATGAGCTGACATCAGCTAGAGGGCCATTGGGAAACCAGCTGGGAATACTGGACAGCTGTTTCGTCTTAGTTTGGGACTCTTCATCAGTACGCTCCCACCACAGGGGTTCGAACCCAGGACATCCTAGTTACAAGGCGAGCTCGTAGACCATTGAGCCACTGGGACCCGATCCAATGGTCCAATGCCAATTCACGACATAGAGCGACTAGAAGGTCCTGGGTTCGAACCCTGGTGGTGGGCGCGTACTGCTGGAGAGTCACAAACTAGGAGGAAACAGCTGTCCAGTACTCCCAGGTTTTCCAGTGGTTCTCTAACTGATGTCAGCTCATGATGAAATCCTCCATCCAAAAGTGGCATTTATTGTATAGAAAACTGCATTTACATATATATATATATATATATATATATATATATATATATATAATGAAAATGAATTGCACGTGGTATATATCTCTAATATACCACAAAAATTGGTCCCCGTTTCTTATATAACACATATCAAACCAATTCCGATACAAAAATTCATCTAAGTGGCTGTATATCATGTCGTATCATATTGGGAACCATTTACCATTCTAATACATTTTTTTAAGATGGTCCCTGAATCCTTCAATAGAATTTGTTTGAGTTCCACTTATAGGATCCACTAGTTCGGAGTAATGATTGACTTTATGATGAGTATAGCCTAGTGATGATAGTTGCGAATAACCACTCCAATCGTCGTCTGTGTGAATGGTAGTGTCTGGTCTGGGAGGACAAGTCGTCGTTGTATTATTACATTGTATTAAAACATTGGCACTTCTGTTTAGAATGAGTTCGATTAACCTTTGCATTGTATAGTCCCCCCACCACCTAAACATTGTTTGCTCTTCTCCTACCGCAATAAGTACTATTTCGTCAATATGAACTACGACACCAATTCTTCCTTGTACAGAAGTAATTCCATTGATCTTCTGTGAGGCAATATCCCAACAGTGCTGATACCATTTACTGTACTGTTGAAATTTTCTGTATTCTCTGTTTTTACGAGTTGATCACGGATTGATATCAGTTAGAGAACCATTGAAAACCAGGGAGTACTGGACAGCTGCTGTTTCATCCTACTAGTTTGGGAATCATCGCCAGTACGCACCCACACACCAAGGTTCGAACTCAGAACCTTCCGGTTACAAGGCGAGCTCTTATACCATTCAGCCACTGGGACCCGATTCAATGGATAGCTCATGAATTCTAACTTCTACCAATTCGTGATTTAGCGTGACCCCAACCATTGTCGTTGGTGGGACATCCATCCACACACGTGACATCTAGATGGACCTCACTGGTCACGACTTGTCACTAGAAATCTAGGAAGCTCCATCCTGTAGCAAGTCACTAGCGAGCATCAGATTAATTTTCTCTGTTTCTGCAGTTGTAGCGGATACTGGTCATCTCACTAGCCAGTTGTGGCATATACAGAGTTTCGATGTCGAGAAGAAAGTATCTAAAAAAATCACCATAGTGTGTACAACTTACCAACAATTCTTACAAACTTGGTGATTTTCACATTTCTAAATCGATTTCAAAGTTGGAGTGCACGCCAGTGATGAACAGTTGAACTGAAAACTGAGAAGTAGGCGTAGATAGTTAGTTAGTTGTCTTGTGACTGTTTCATCTTTGATCTAACTACTGAGCAGCTGTTAATTAATTAATTAATTAATCTGTTAAGTCACAGATTCCTTTTCTTTTGTTCACCGCTTCACTTATTTGGGAAGTACCATCAGCCCCGACGGGTCGATCTCTGACGAATACAGAGGGCTAGTTTCGCATATGCCAGTTTATCACGTCTCTGACGTAGACGTGATACCCGACTATCGACCAAAGGGCGTGTGTACTGCTCATCAGTCCGCTCCGTTCTCCTTTATGGCCAGCTGTGAGACCTGGCCATTGAGAGTGGAAGACATGAAAAGATTAGTTGTCTTTGATCATAGGAGTCTGCGTTCTATCTCCCGCGTGAAGTGGTATAATAAGGTGAGCAATATTGAGGTTAGGCCTGGGTTGAGTGCTAGGTAAGGAGGGGAAATCAATCGACGAGACTGTGAAATTACATCGACTGAGATGGTTAGGACATGTGTTACATATGCCTAGTCATCGCCTTCCTCGACAATGGGCAATGTTAGCTGATATAGGGTCAGGCTGGAAAAGAGCTAGCGGCGGTCAAACGAAAACATGGCGGCACCAGTCAATGAAATCTACAACAGTTAGTCTAAGCCAGCCACGTAGGAAGGTGTAGACTGGCTTCCTGGTTAGGGTCCTCGGGACGGTAAAAACCAATGGTTGGAAACAATTGGTGACATGGCTCAAAATCGTTCTCAATGACTGGCGCAGATGCATCCACTCCTTGTGACTTATGATTTCCAATGAAACTGTTTTGTTCTTCGTTATTACTATGCCTTTGTCTCACACCTCTGTTTACTGTCTCTAATATGCATTTCTCCTACTTTCTTCTCTTGCTTTGTGTGCTACATGGAGTGTGGTGACTTGAAGTGCCGCACATATGTGCAAAGTTCTATGTCGAAAACCGACCGACCGACAGATTCCTTTGAAATCTCCTCTTTAACCCTACCAATGATGATAATACTATTTGGTGCAGAAAGAAGACAAATTATATCCCACAAGAGATAAATAATGTATCATTTCACAAACCACATAGAAAGTGTACTCACAATCTAATATAAGCGTTCAAGTCGTCTATTTTTTACTGATTGATTTTCGTTATCATTCACACTATATATATATATATATATATATATATAATATATATATATATATATATATATATGTATGACAGTTTAACAGTCTTTAATTATTGAAGTCTTCACGGGTAATTTTTGCAGTAGTCCAATGGCTGATTGATCATGTGATCTGCACATGTAATCCAATAATTCTTAGATCTATTCATCCCAAGCGCATAAATGTGCACCATTATTGCATAGTTTCAAACTACAGAGAGAAACACACCTATCCAGTGTTTCGTGGTTTTCAGAGGAGTGGAGGGCTCGGGTGCAGGGGAGGCGGATGTCAGCTAGTGACAAAAATTACTTTGAAAGAGGAGTTTTTTTCGGAAGTAGTAGACGATATCTCTTAACAGACACTTCGTTACTCTTATGTAGGGTGTGTGTGTGTGTGTGCCGTAACTTTTTTCGAAAGAGCAGTATCTTTACTTAATTTCTGGATTTCTTACTTTTGTATTGTAATAATAATTTTTGTTACCTTGTTTTTTCTCTCTCCATAGTAAATCTACTCATGAAAATTGCCTGTTCCCCGGCTGTTCGTAATTGTGGCTTGAATATGGAGTACACATTTCATTTGCTGTGTAAATATAAAGGTGATTTGGAGATGACTCTGCATGCTTTACTTCGAGATACACTGGTTGTCTATGATTATGTTTATGCGGGTAAGTTTATTTGGTGTGTGTGTGTGTGTATGTATGTGTATATTAGTAACAATTAATGGTTTCATCATTAGACTCGAGCTTATTGTCATTTGCTATTTGGACTATATATATAAGGGTCAGGAACTTGACCAGCGCATCACGAAAACGATTTCCAACAAGTTACAAACATTTTAATCAACAACTGCCGCCTTCACTGGGCTCCTTACTGAAGATCAAAACGGTCAACCAGAGAGAATTAGCAACAAGCAACTCTGTAGTGGAGCAAACCAACCGAAAGCCTATTGTTCAACAAATATGTAGGAGAAAATGGACATGGATAGGGCACACGCTGAGGAGGCCTAATTCGAATGACATTATGCTCTAGACTATAGCTGGAGTGGAAGGTGAATGGGAGGGTGACATGGAGGAGATGACAGATTATGTGCAGTCGTGGGCTCAGCTGAAGAGGACGGCAGAAAATAGAAGAAATTGGAGATGTGTTGTTGAGGCCTTATGTTCCACTCGGAACCCAAGGGAATAATAATATAATAATAATAATAATCTTGCTAACGGAATTGTTTTCGTTCACAACTCATATTTACCCATTACACAGATTATTTCTATATCCCAAACTTTCTTCAATACACAAGATATATGAAAACTTTGGATACCTATTTTCGTGTATTGGTTTTGTAGGGATTTTTGTTTGATTGCATGGAGGATTTCATCATGAGATGACATCAGTTAGAGAACCACTGAAAAACCTAGGAGTACTGGACAGCTGTTTCGCCAGCCTAGTTTGGGACTCTTGAACAGTACGCACCCACCACAGGGGTTCGAACCCAGGACCTTCTGGTTACAAGGCTAGCGAGCTCGTAGACCATTCAGCAGCCACTGGGACCGGATCTAATGGTTCTTGAATTCTAACTTCTGCCAATTCACGACATAGCGCGACCATTTCGCAATGTCTTGTTCGATGAGTTACTGCCTCATCTTCAACCTGCTGTACCCTACTGGTCACGGCTTCTCACTAGAACCCCAGGTAACTAACTGCCTGAATAGGGCCAGTTGCTAGTGAGCATCAGGTTAATTTTCAAGTATTGGTTTTGTAGGGATTGGCAGAAGTTAGAATTCAAGGACCATTGGATCGGGTCCCAGTGGCTGCTGAATGGTCTACAAGCTCGCTAGCCTTGTAACCAGAAGGTCCTGGGTTCGAACCCCCTGTGGTGGGTGCGTACTGCTGAAGAGTCCCAAACTAGGCTGGCAAAACAGCTTTCCAGTACACCCTGTGGCTGGTTTTCCAATGGTTCTCTAACTGATGTCATCTCATGATGAAATCCTCCATGCAACTTATTTTCATGTCTAGGCTGTGAATAAATTTGAAGGCAGTACTCTGGAATTGTAACTTTTTACGCTGAAAGAGCTGTGATCATTTGAGAGTAAATGTGATCATTTTACACTAAAGCCAAGTATCATAGTGTTGATGAGAGTAGTCATATTGTTCACTGTGTTGACCACACACACACACACACTCATATTTCTTGACCAAAAGGCGGCATTCGATTCTGTCGACCGAGAGGTACTATGGCTATGTTTGGCTGTGAAGGGAATTCCGAGAAAATACATTGCACTGATCAAGGCACTCATTCTACTCGAACTCATGCAGTCAGCCAGGTGAGAGCTTACGGCGAGTTGTCTTCTGAAGTGGTGACAAGTAGTGGTGTCCGACAAGGATGCCCACTATCCCCATTTCTATTCAATTTCATCATAGATGTACTAATGGAATTAACCGTAACTTCTGACTTCAGCGACTGAGGGATTGACTTGTTACTATCAGGGAATAATAGTCTCGTTGACTTAGAATATGCATGTGGATGATTTAGTCCTCTCTCTTAGGTGAATTGAAGACGCTGACAAAATAGTGCAGAGTCTTCTGAACACCTTGAGGAGGTGAAATCTTCGAATGTTTGGCGTGTGATTCGCTCCCTCCATGAAATGTAAGATGATGAGGCTACAGGACTGGACTACATTGACTCAATCCTAGCTGAGAAATAGGGGTTGAAGTAGTGGCTGAGAGTGTTGACCACTTCACTTATTTGGGAAGTGGCATCAACCAACGCCAACGGGTTGATTGCTGACGAAATCTCAGCGTGGATACTGAGGGCTAGTTCTGCATATGCCAGTTTACGTCGTCTCTGGCGTAGACGTGATATCCGGCTGGCTGTCGACGAAAGGGCGTGTATACTGCTCAGCAGTCCGCTCTGTCCTTCTTTATGGCTGTCAATGAGACCTGGCCATTGAGAGTGGAAGACATGAAATGGTAGGCTAGCTGTCTTTGATCATAGGTGCCTGCGTTCTATCTCCCGTGTTACGTGGTAAGTGTGTGAATTTTGAGGTTAGGCATCGGCCGATTTCTAGGTAAGGAGGGGAAAGGAATCAATCGACGAGCCTGTGAAGTTACATCACCCGAGATGGTTAGGACAAGTGTTACACATGCATGGCTAGCCATCACCTCACTCGACGGGAAATATTAGCTGACTGACATAGGATTGTTCAGATTGGAAAAGAGTTAGCTAGTGGTGGTGAGACCAAAACATGGCTTCATCAGTCAATGAAATCCACAACAGTTCGTTTAAGCCAGCCAGCCACCTAGGAAGGTGTAGGCTTCCTGGTTGGGGTTTTCAAGACGGTAGGGTAGAAACCAATGAAGGTTGGAGACAATTAGTAATATGGCACAAAATTCTTGTTCTTAATGGCTGGCGCAGATGCATCCACTTATAATATTCAATAAAACTATATTCTCCTTACATATTACTATTCTTTTTGCCTCATATCGCTGTCTGCTGTCTCCACTTTGCATTTCTTTTATACCTTTTTCTCTTGCTAATTAATTAATTAGCCTTTTTCGTCTAACATCGACATATATCAACACGTCTGTGATCCTCTTGATAAACAACCGACTTATTTGAACAAGTTGTAGGTGTGTTAAATGCCTTTCACTTTTTGATACAGAATAAATATAGAATGCACTCAGATTCTTCACAAAAGCAAAAAACACTGACTGTTCCACTAAACCTTGTAAACTTATTTCTTTTTTGTACTGATGAGCATATTATAGAATACAGGTACAAACCTGTTCTTCCAATCGACCAGTTATGAATTATCCGAAGTCGTCATCACCGCCTACTCAAAACAAATAAGACTTAATATATAAATCAATGCTGGAATTGTTTAAAATTACAATTATCTCAAAAATTACCTATTTCAGTCGACTTTGCGTAATATTTCCAAAATTGATTTTCAAAAGAATGGATACTGAACAAAGAATATTCATTTCGATAACCTGCTCAACATAACAATAAAACTGAATGTCAGAAATAATAGGAAAGATAATATTACAAATTCATGAATTTATAGTCTCCACTAAAGGCCAGGGCAGTAGTCGCGGCTGGACTTCCTTCTTCTGCATACAAAGCACTTGTTATTTCACGCGAATCGCGATAGCCTCTGCTGTTTGTAGCATGCGGTACTTCGATGTTTTTGGCAATTTATTTGGCACCCGGTAGATGATAGAGAAGGATTCTTCCACGCTGGCTGGCTTTGTGGCCTGTTTAGACCAGATGGTCTAATATCGAACTGTTAATGGTTTTAACTACACCTTTACTTAGCCATAGTGGGAGATGTTCTCGAGCGAGCACGAAAAATCAAGTTCCTAAAGCAACGGCGATATAACTCACTCCACTACAAGCGCAGTTGAATTGGTAGATACAATTTGAAGTGGCTAGTCTAGGTACTTCATGTTTTATTTAGGGGAATCACCATCGGTCGTGTAGAGAATAATACGTGTAGTTCGCCAGCATTAAAAGTTCTTTGAACTGATTTTCTTAATTTCTTCGTAATTATTTCACTTGGTATATCGCCTTTGAATTGCAGTCGTATATAAAGAGGCTTCTTGTTTACGGATAGTGAGTAGTCCTTTTCCGCTTTCTTTGTCATGTGTTTCTTAATAAATTTGTCGGGATAGCTATTTTTGATCAAAGTATCATCTACAATGCTTAATTCATCTTCAATTACTTTTTCTGAGCATATAGCTCTAACTCTGTGGCTGAGGGTCTTCACTAAATTTCTTTTGTACTTGAGAGGAACGAAGCTGTGAAAATGTGTATATTGTCCTGTCCATGTACTTTTCCTATATGCAAATTTCTTTTTATGCTACCATCTGGTTTTCTTGTAAGGAGGACATCCAGGAAGGTAATTCTGTTTTGGAATTCCTCTTCGCATGTGAATTTCATAGCCGAATGTACTTCATTGAATCCAGTTATTATTGTACTTCTATCTGATGATGAAGTTATCGAATAGAGTATTCTTTGTTTTTAGTATCCATTCTTTTGAAAATTTCCAAAATTGATAAATTGACCATATATACATATATATATTGTCCGTTTGTTTTGTTTCTATTTTTTGGATATATACAGAGACAACAGCATGGACAACTGAAGAAATTGTCCGTTTTCAACAAGGTTTAGCTGTGCATGGAAGAGATTTTCATCAGGTAGCTAAAGATCTACAAGCGGCTGGAATGAATAAAACTGTTAAAGCTTGTGTAGAATTCTATTATGTCTGGAAAAGGATGAATACACCATCGGATGTTAAATGGTATGTTATAATGTTGTTGTTGTTGTTGTTGGTATTGTCTGTTTATAGTTCCTGATGTGTTACATTATCATTATTGTTATTGTTCCCTTGAGTTCCTAGTGGAACATAGGGCTTCAACTGCACGTCTCCACTTGCTTCTGTCTTCTGTTGTACTTTTCACCTGCATCCATGTTAGTCCATACTGTTTCAATTCCTCTTCACACGATCTCCTCCATGTCACCCTTCGACGTCCCACTCGCCGCTTCCCTTTCGGCGGGTTCCACTCGAGCTATGGCCTGACGCGCGATGTCACCCAGCGGCCTCCTCAGCGAGTGTCCAATCCATCTCCACTTTCTTCTGCATATTTGTTGGGCGATTGGTTCTTGTTTTGTTTGTTCCCATAGTTTCTTGTTTGTGATTCTTTCCGGCCATCTGATCTTGAGTATAGAACGAAGACAGTTGTTGATAAAGGTCTGCAACAGGCTGTTGGAAATATTCTTTGTGACCCGCCGTCAAGTTTCTGATCCGTATAGAAGAAGTGACTTGACGTTTGTATTGAAAATCCGAATTTTGTTGTTGATGCTGAGTTGAGTGACGAAGATTTCCAGATTGGTTTCAGGTTGATGAATGTGTTTCTCGCCTTCCCGATTCTCGCTCGATTTGACATCCTCGTCCGTTCCTCCTGTAGTTGAGACAATGCTCCCTAGATAAGTGAATGAGGTAACCTCTTTCAAATCCCTCCCGTTGATGGTGATTGGCGCTGGCTGCTGCTGCTGTTGTTGTTGTTGGTTGGTTATTTTCATAACCTCCGTCTTGTCTATGTTCACCTGGAGTCCTGTCTTTGCTGCTTCTTCGACCAGTTTGTCGGTTTTCGCTTGTAAGTCTTCGATTTTGTCCTGATGTTACATGATTGAAGGCAATTGTTAGGATGCCTTGCTTGACCTAGGTTTCGTGCTAGTTACCACTCACCAGTCATCTATAAAACACAAAATTATCGAACAAAGAATATCCTTTCCGATAATTTTCCCCTCTTCTGACTCTACAATTATGTTTATAAATGTTTATAAATATAGAATATTCTAGAATAGTAGTCAACAACAATATTAGTGTTTTTTAAATAATATCGATTTGTAGAATAAGATTACAGTGGAATTACAGTTCATTAAAGATGCTTAAATAATAATAATAATAAAGATATAATAGCAAATAGAATATCAACTAAAATTAGGAAAATTCCACGAAAATTGAGGATCATTGGAACCTAGATGGCCAAGGTAAGGATAATGTCTGAACTTGCTTCTTTTGGACACATAAGTTGGCCTTCTTGAAGTGGATCCTAACGGCTCCAGCAATATTTAGTGAACGAACTCTTAAGGTGAAGTTAAGATTTTTTGGTGTGCGGTAAATGACTTTGAAAGCCGCCTCGTTAACATCAATCTTGTGTTCTGTATTCACAAGATGAGATAGAATAGCACTACGAATAGATTTTGTTTGTCCTTTACCTAACCACACAGGGTGATGTTCAGAAATCCGACGAGAAACGGCCTATGTAACTGGCTCCACAGGAGCAGTTAAATTGGTGGATACACATGGAAGAGGCGAAATTAGTCAGTTTGTCTTTTACTCCCGAACACAAAAGAGGAGTGGTTTTGAAGACACAGCGTAATTCGGCAGCAGGGAATGCTCTTTTTACTGCATTTCTAAGGCGTTGTGTTAGTATCTCGCTGATGTTGTCCCCGAGGAACTGAATTTGTAAGAATAAGGCCTTTTTTGGAACTGTTGGTACCTTGGGGCTGCTTTGATTTTAGATTCATATTCTTATCAATAAACTTTTCTGGATAACCGTTTTCACTCACCAACCGTTTAATCTTATTAAGTTCCTCATCAAGACATTCATCCGAGCAGATTGCTCTTGCTCTGTGAACCAAGCACTTTATCAGATTGCGTTTGTATTCCAAGGTCACGAAGCTGAGAAAATGAGTATAGTGACCCGTTGATGTAGGCTTTCTATATACACTTCCTCTTATTGTGCCATCCTCTTTTCTGGTCATAAGGACGCCTAGAAATGAAATACTAGATTCTTTTTCTTTCTCAATAGTAAAATTTATTGTAGGATGAACCTCGTTAAATTTATCCAGGATGTTCTTTGCTTCCTTCTCATTTTTCATAATCAAAAATGTATCATCCATGTACCGACAATAGAATTCAAGTTCATCAATAACACCCTCCAAAGGCCCATTTTCTAGTTTCTCAAGGAAAATGTCGGCTAAAATGTGTCCTAGTGGTTACCGCATTGCCACACCGTCGATTTGTCTTTAGTTCCTTATTAAAGAAAAAGTGAACATTCAGTGTGTATTTCAAGAGAAACTCTTTTATAAAAGATATAAGAATGCCAACATCGATTTTTCTTTTTATGAGTCAGCAAGGCGTATCTGCAATCACCTTGAAGCAACTCACGTCCCTCCTTCTGAGATTTGATTGGAATCAAACAATTCCAACACTGGTGTGAACACGGGCAGTAATTTTGCTCGAAATATTACCAATAACAAAACTTATCATTGTGTGTAAACTATTAAAAAATATAATTATACTTTATTTGCATGAAAATACTTTAAACAGGGTATCGTTCTCTGGTATGACTTAAAAATACGTCCCAATTATAATGAGGAGTATCAGTTGCTAAGTTAGACTAGTTACTGTATATGGGTATTCACCGAGGTGGTGACTTAAGGTGAGCTTTTTCTCTGACCTGTTTATCGCTTTTATCCTGTTTCGCAGTCTTCCCCAAAGCCCTCGTTTGAATGACTATGGTTTCAAGCAAGAGGATGAAGGACTACTTATTAGGAAAATATGAATAATAAAACAAATTAAAATAAATAACATCAACTCTAAATCTATCCCTAGTTGTAGCCCCAACCTTAATCCTAACCCTAATTATATAACCCTGATCCTAACCCTAACGAGCTATTAACACATTGTCTAAACGGTAATTGAAAACGTGATCTGGGTGAAATTCGCTCCTTTGTGGGTGAATAGCGTTCATATTTGCGCTACATAGCATGCGTTCAAGGTCATTAGAGCGTTCACATCCCTGGGACTTTATTGTTTAATTTCACCGTGCTGCAGCTATAGAGACGTTACCACTGAGGAGAAGCTATTCAGACTCGCAATTGACCTCCTGTAGGACTGAATGACTGTATTGGGTACTTTGATTGGACACTAAGTTAGTAACTAGTGTCAATCGAAAATTTATAATTCCTGTTTACAGGTATTTAGTTTGTAAAGATTTAACTAATTTTCAGTATACATTTCTCCGTGAACTGAAATCAGTTAGATAACTACTTGAAACCATGGAGCATTACATAGTTGTTTCATCCCGGCATGCAACTCTTCATCTGTTCATCTTGATCATGATAATAATACCAGAGATCGAACCCCATGACCCCCCCCCCCCCAGTTTACGAACTAAGCGAGTTCATCTTTCAGTCACCCACCACCAAGTCGAAATCCATTGACGCATGAATTCTACCTAACCTCATCCAGTGTGCACAATATATAATTCCACTCTCATCAATGTTTACCTTTCTTCAAACTCAACAATTCAGATCCGACACGTTAGAACCATGTCATTATTTCCTTAAGAAATTCATCTCGAGGCAAGTTACTAATGTGCGGGAGATCTATATTTGAACGTTTGGTTTTTATGATGTTTTTTTTCAATGGATGCTCACCGCTGGAAGAATCTCAAACTGTGATGAACACAGTTGCCCGCTGCTCCCTGGTTTTCAAATTATTCTCAAGTTACATTTTCAAGTATTGGTTTTTTTTTAGGGATTTTTTTGATTGATTGGAGGATTTCATCATGAGCTGACATCAGTTAGAGAACCGTTGGAAAATCAACAAGGAGTGCTGGACAGCCAACTGTTTCGTCAGCCTAGTTTCAGACTCTTCAGCTGTACGCACCCACCGCAGGAGGAGGTTCGAACCCAGGACCTTCTGGTTACAAGGCCAGCGAGCTAGCTCGTAGACCATTCAGCAGTCACTGGCACCTGACCCGATCCAATGGCCAGCCTGAATAGGGCCAGTCGGTAGTGAGCATAAGATGAATTTTCAATTATTGATTTTTGTAGGGAATCAGTTTGATTGATGTCAGCTCATGATGAAATCCTCCAACCAATGCATCGGCTGGGAAGATCGAATTCGGACCACATGCTTAATTAACTAGTATTCTGTCACTGAACCACTGACGACACACTTCAGACACTGCTTGCTAGTAAGTTATTTTCTTGAGTACAAAGCATCTATATTGTTTTTATTTGGGGGGAGGGATGAGGTAATTGTCAACCTTTGAATTCAACCCTGATGAATAGCTCTCTCTTTATCCTATCCTTTTATGATTATTATTTCAAGGATGTAAAAATTTAGACATTGTCAATTGGTTCTGATTATCAGTGATCACCACTCTTATTTCTTCCTATTTAGGACTCGTCGTATGGATGTACCTGCACTCCAAGTCAGTGAGTGATGGTGTTCCCGCCGGGACTCGAACCCAGTCCCTATAGTCTCAAACACCAAAGCTTTATCCACAAGACCACTTGGGCCACAGGAGCCACCTCTTGTGCAATGAGTCCTATTAAATTATTGAATTCAATTTTAAATTTTCCCCATCGATTGATTGGACCGAATTGCTCGGTCTCAGGTTGTGACATGTCTGTCGGTTTCTTGTGCAGATGCCTCGACGATGTCTGGTCATGTAATTATAGGTTAATTGGTGGATGTTGACTAGCAGTGGAATCCAGGTTGCCTCGGTGTGAACACCATCATTCACTGGGGAATGCAGGTACATCCAGTTGACGAGTCCCGAATAGGACGAAATGTGCGTTGTCCTGGATTCCACTGCTAGTCACCATCCACTAATTGACTTGAAGTTACATGACCAGACATCGTTGAAGAAGTAGCTGCACAAGGAGCCGCCAACATGTTGTCAACGTTAAGTCGAGCAATTCGGTCCAATCAATCGA